AAATAATTAAATCACTTTGTCGATTTCATTCCAAATGCAGTTTGCTGAAAACAAATATGATATTCCTTTCATTTTATTTTTGGATATTATTTTTTAAACTAAAAGTGTATTCATCCAATTGAATCTAATAGAGCTTGGGTTGACAAAAAAAAGATATGGCATATTAAGTCTGCATTTGGTATGCACGGAAAATTTAAAGTTGGTCAAATAGACTTAAATCTCGTATTTTATATGAAACAAGATATTTTGCTATTCCATTACTACCACTATTTTGAAAAAGCAAATCGGTAAAAAATAGTGAAATCATATGAAGTGTAAGAAAAGAGGTTAGGAACTCAATCTGCTTAATATGAAGGGATAGTGAACAATGATGATCTGTCCAAATGACTCAAGAGTAAGAAGAAAACTGATTTCTATCATTAAATAGATAATTTGATGACATTTACTAGTCAATTCAAACATATAATTCCATTCTATTTATTAGTAAATATCGGTTACACTCTCAATTAATGACATAAATTAAATTCAATTAACATATATATTCACTCTACTATCATTTATGGCATTTTCAGAGAAGGCTTACCAATTCAAATACATTAAATAGATTTGCTAATGTGTCATTACATGATATCTTCACCTTATTAAAATACATAAATACATGTGATACGCTATTAACAATTTCAAAGTACAAGCTATATATTACATGATATACTATATAGCAAATGTAATAATTTATAGTGTGATAGAGCCATAATTCAAGTGAGAAATGTTGTTGTGTGAGATCTTAGGGGCATAGGTGAAACATGTGAAATTGCATATTTTGTAGATATGAATTGAGAGGTAATTTCAAAAATGATTCTCTAAAGCTGCACAAATATTGATGCTTAAAGATCACCAGTATTTGATATAATAATTTCATTAATCTTTTCTTATATGAGATATAAATTAGTTTTGCTCCTGAAGACCTGAAGTAGCAATTCTCTAAACTTCTTTTGAAATTTATTGTTTAATGTGCTCTTAATAACCTTTCATTGCGTTGATTATGTACGATGGAAATCTTTATTAGTTCGTAAACATTTCAATTTCTTTTAATCCTTGTGAAAATTACTTCATCTACTATGAGTTAATGAAATCATTAAGAAAAGTGCATTGAAGATTACAATACGTTCCACATATCCCTATTTATAATTTGGTCATTTTGGAACATAATATGATTACATATATATTTATTTATATGAGAAACTTGATTGTTGAATATTCATCGATAAGTTAATGTGACTCATATAACTTAAATGTCTTATAAAGCACTCAAGCAAGTGATATACTTTAAGAAAATGCATGATTAGAAAACATGATATAGACTTCAACTATATTCGAAATATAGTTAAATATTACTATTGATATTCAAAATAATCACAAATTAATGCAATTATGTATAATGATTAGCTCTAGTTAATCTACATGAGAGAGGGAAAAAACAAATAAAATTTCAGAAAGGAAAATATGAAATTATAATAAAGTGCTAGAAGTCACTATAAGAGTATAAATTTGATATACAATTGGCTGTGTTGTGAACATGAAGTTCTCACATCGCTTACACACGAGATGATGTGTGTTTACAAGCACGGCCCGAAGCCCTTACTTATGGGCGTGTTTTAAAGCCGTGAGGTCCTGAAGTACCAAAGCAGACAATATGTTATTATATGTCAAGGTAAATTTTAAGAAATTCATTCAAGTGAATACTTTGAGACAAGTAGTATAGTATTCCTTAACAAATTTGATTATCTGATAATTTTTATGTTACTCCAAAGGTAAGTGATTCGTATTGTTTCTATGAAAGTAAGAAAGAAATCACTATATAAATGATTATTCTAGATACATTATTTTTGTTTAGGGATGATATAATGCTTGAAGCATGTATACACTTGTGGCATAGAGTCCGAAATATATTAACTTTTGATAGAGTCATACACATTAGGGATAAAAAGTAATGGAAGCACAAATTATATTTATAAACAAGTTGTGCACACAAATAATAATGATAAAATCTCAGGCATTGAGTGTAAGCTCAAAGAAGCTACTTAAACACTGCGAAGTAATAATTTGAAAAGTGATATCATACTTATTGGGTGATAGTTTGAGACCATACCAACGCAGTGTAAATTGTGTTTCCATAATATCTGCCTGTAGCAGAATTCTCCTCACATCATACTATATATACTTGAAAATTTAAACATGTGTTGCATGAAGTTTAAATTTTTGAATAAATGACCAATTTAAGGTCAACCCAGGTTTAAACCAAATGCCGTATAAGACATCCAATATATAAATACTTCTTAGATAAGAAAATGACAAGACCGTCTATTCTCCCAAATATTTTGAAAGTGGATCCATGGGTGTTAAGTGAACTTGAAGTTTCACAATGTGGGTTAATATCAAGTTTGGTCTCAAGATATGTTCTCCTAAAATGTCTACATATAATGAGTGGTATAAGACTATTTCGCCGGCTTCTATGAAATATAGTGAAGAGCATAAGGTAACCCACAAAATATATCTAGCATTATAAGATGAATGTTACGCCTGAGATAAACTACTAGAAAGTTGCTTGAATATATGAAGAAAGTCTAGTTTATATTAATTCGGGCTTTTGTTAACAACTAACCCCCAAAGTTTACACGTTAAAATGAGTCAAAGTGTGCCAACATTGAAACCCCTCTACATAAATGATGTACTCGGACCCCAGAAGTGGCTCCATATGTACGTAAATCCTTGTTCAAAAATATTATGGCACATTTCCCGACATTAGGGGGAGATATAAAGGCATAAGCATAATTATATTTTGGAATGTCAGGAAAATATCCCAAAAGGATCGATTGATATTAAAAGAGAAACGTGTAAAATATGATAAATAAACTGCTAAAGTGACTGAAAGAAATGATTATAAAGATTGAGCTCAACCAATGCATGAAGTATGGTTAGACGGTCATTACGTGTATACAAATAAAATTGGTTTTATTTTAGGAAGTCACTTATGCCTCTACAAGAGGATGATATAAGTTTAATGTTGCAGCTGATAAGTTATAGAAACTTTGTGATACAAAACATGAGTTCCTCTTTTATGACTCATATAGAGGACTTTTGATGAAACAGGAATGATATTGATTAGATTGACGTCAATGATTTATTTTCCCATACCTATCGACTCATAATCCCTAATAATAAAGTCTGGCCAGACGAAATATGATGGACCTGTAGTCCTAAAATTTTGTGAATTATGATCGAAGTTTATGGATGAGAAAATATTTTATATTGGGCCTGAATTCCCATAAATCAAGATATTGTGTACGTGGGGTGACAATACTTGAGATTGAATGATTTTGAGACTGCACTCCTGTTATGGTTTAAAGTTCTGTAAATGTGGCAGTTGATGCGAAAATTGGATGTCATTGTTATAATATCAATTGTGTGTCCCTGAAGGACAATGGTGAAAACAAAAATATGTGCACACAACATGCAACATGAATATGAATTCTTTTATGTCTAGATAAGGACATTATGTTTTAAATTATAGTAATTATATTTGGAATTATTCTTGAAAAAGAATTTGAATTTCATTGAATAACTGCAACGATAAATAATGCAGTAAATACTAAGCATAGCTGAAAAACATATAAAATAGACGCTTGTGCCTAACTAAAACCTGGGTGACTACAATAAGTCTTGATGAAATTATTTATTTTGTAGAAGAACTATGCTTGAATATCATGGTGCAAATTATATTATGTAATTGATCAAGGTTTTTGCATCATGTCAAAATATCACTTGTAGTGAGTGCCTCCTGAAGAGGATCTAATGTGAACAATTTTCTTATTTGTTTTCACATGATTTTATGACTAGAATTTTAAATATAAAGTGAGCTATATTCGTACTACTTCTCAACCTTTCCTGTAGAAAGAGTTGAATGAAGAAAACATTATGCAATGAATTTGCAATTGCTCAGAAACCTTCTATTTGTTTACCTGAAGTAAACATATATTATTTTATGAACCAAATTGTATAAATAAAGGTGTTTGAAGCTTTTAATTAAGCATCTATCAAAACCTAGCTAGAAACAACACATGAAAATCTTTTGATTTGAATGGTGTTTGATTATATAATAAATAAAATATATAATCATTATATTGTGAACACCTGAAGTGTTTGTATACTAATTTGAGTTTGAATCCTATGAGGATGACAAAAATGGTTTGAATGGTTTATGGACCAATATTTGACAGTATTCAATTATTGAATGGTTTGACATGCATAATGTCTTTAGCACTAAATTTGATAGTGTTAAAATACATATCTCATAATGTAACACCGCCCCCGAGTATTTGTACTGTACAAAATTATGTATTGAACCTTGAGAAATGTATAAAAGCATTTTTACGTGATTGTAAATTTTATCATTTCTATTACGTGAATAGTAAAATTCACGTGGGGCCCACACCGGATGTGGGGCCGCCCGATATTATCGGGACCACATATTATATTAATCTTGGACTAGATAATATGTATATGGTGGTGGATATCCTAATTGGGCCATGACAATGGCACAAGGTTGACCAGTGGGTCAAACGGGCCAAATTATCGGTATCGGCAATTTATCAGATAACAGCCCAAAAAGGGATTCCGGGAACCTATAAATTAAAGTTGGGGATTTCATAATGATTCTAAGGCCCAATAAGGATCGGGAACGAGTGTTATATTTTATTTGACCCGATAAAATAAAATATACTTAAAACAGTCCGAAAAATACAACTTTCGGGATCGATTGTACACTCGGGTACACAAAGGGTTGACCTCCCACATGAGTGGGGGCCAACCCACGTCCTTGGTCTGGAAAATAGCAAGGGGAGCCGCATCATGGAGCTGAGAATTGGCTGGGGAAGTGATTGGGAGACCAATCAATATGAGGGTGGGACCTTTGTCATATGATTTGGTGAGAAATGCCAAAATGGCATCCTCAATCACCCCTCACCCCATATGCTCGGTTCAATCATCCAAGGAAGGGAGAGAAACTCTGAAAATACTCCATTTCCTCATCCTTTCACGCACCAAGAACAAAGGAGGAAGAAGGAGGGGAAAAGAGAAGAGAAAAGGTTGTTTTGGAGAGGAAAACTTGTGTTTAGCAAGGTAAGGACTCCATTAACCCCATTTCGTTTTCTTTAATCATCTTATATGATTATCCAATCATATTTCACACCCTAGGATTGTTCTACACGTTGGGATGTGTAGGAAGAGGGGTTGGAAGGTGGTTCTAAGTCCAAGAACGGACTTAGAAGCCAAAGGACCGGTTCGCCGGAAAATAACCTTTTGAAGGTTATTTATATTACTATGGGTTTTATGATGATAAAACCTTGTTAGTAACTTGTCTAAGGTATTCAAGGAACTTTCACGGAGTTGAAAAGGTCGCCGGAGTTGTCGCCGGAGTTCGTTGAAGTTCGCCGGAGTTTCGTCGGAGCTAAATCGGGAAGGCTAGAACTTCATAAGCTTCATTAAGGTGAGAAGACGGCTTTATGCTTTATAACTTTTGCGTTAGGCATGAGATTACCTAAAGTAATAAAGGATATGTTTTGTGGAATGATTAAAGATAATCAAGTATTTGCGTATGCCATGATTTTGCATAAAACATAGTTGAAAAGCATGTTATGTAGGTTTGGTAATTAAAAATGTGATAATATATTTTGTGAGATGATCCAGGGATCCAAAATGGTATTTTGGATCAAGGACATCAAGAAGTATATGTGTATAAAATTTCAAGTTAATCGGACTCCGTTTGGGGGGTAAAAAGGGGCGTTGACCGCCAAGCCAACTGCCATACCCGACCGGGTATTGACACATACCCGACCGGGTATTTGCTGAAAAATTGCCCAGGGGGCTACTGTCTCCTATACCCGATCGAGTATAGGTAGATACTCGATCGAGTATACATGGAAAATTAGCCTTGGGGGCTACCGCCTCCTGTACTCGACCGAGTATGGGTAGATACTCGATCGAGTATGGGTAGATACTCGATCGAGTATTGGTTTATGCTCAAAACGGGCAGTTTTGAGCGGCTTAATGTGGGCCGTTCAGGTGGGACCCGCCCACATTGGTTCCTAAGGATGGTTATATGACTATAGGGCTAGGTATTGTCCATAGTTAAAGGAATGAAAGGTTAGCCATATCCAGGTTAGGATTTGGTAGAGGATAGACTGGGGATTGAGTGCCCTTGGACGGTAAATGATCCAGAATACTCCAGGTGGGGTCGAGTACCCTTGGACGGTAAATGATCCAGAATACTCCAGGTGGGGTCGAGTACCCTTGGACGGTAAATGATCCAGAATACTCCAGGTGGGGTCGAGTACCCTTGGACGGTAAATGATCCAGAATACTCCAGGTGGGGTCGAGTACCCTTGGACGGTAAATGATCCAGAATACTCCAGGTGGGGCCGAGTACCCTTGGACGGTAAATGATCTTAAATACTCCAGGATGGGTTGAGTGCCTTGGACGGTAAATGATCCTAAAACACTCGGTAGTATGAATCGAAGGTAGACTATAGCTTGTGAGCTAGGTAACCGGGAAAGGAGTGAGAAAAGTCAGGTAAGAACTTTATCTCTAAAAGACTCTTTAAGGTAAATGACCTACGGGTTGAGTATTTTACGAGTATATATACAGTATGTATCATCGGGTGGATGAGGGACATCTATATGTATATATCACCCTATTTTTGGGTCTCGTGTCTGAAACATTAGTTATTCTTCATATAGCCTGCTTGTCACTAGTACTTCTATGGAGTACTGACCCCTCCGGGGGCCCTCACATTTTTCAGGTTGAGGCTAGAGTCCTACTACCTGCACCTTTGCCTAGGGTGACTGATCGAGAAGGAAGACGTGGTTCGTGCTTCCATTCTTATTTCAAATGTATAAACCGCTCATGGATTTTTGAACAATATTTTCATTAAAACAGTTGGGGGTCTGCGTGCCCGTGTTTGCCACGTGTGGCTAAGTATCAAACATTTTATTATTTCCGCATTTGTTTTATTATGATATTGATGTTGATTGTATGTGTTTACTAATCGGTTTGGAAATAGAATCAATCAGACGCCTTGTACAACTCAATAGGGATGAACTGTTGTTGTTCTTATCGGGTTGTACGGCGGTTGTCTACGTGGCTCGGATGCGGTCCGGGGCGTGACAATTAAGTGGTATCAGAGCCATCGATTTCTAAACTATATAATTAACCTCTCAATATGGTTATCTTCAAAAAGTTTTGAACAAAACCATGAGCAGAAGTTTTTGTACTTAAGGAACCGTGGGAAACCAAGTTATTGACCTCTTATTGTTAAGACGGTACCCTTAACAGTTTGTTGGCCATAATGTTGGACCAAGTGGTGTCTTTTGTACTAATCCGTCGATTGACATTGAAACGAGTCTAATGACTCATTCCTTATTTCTTTCAGAAATGGAGGGTGGACGCAGGATTACTAGGAGGAACCCGACAGGGCATGTGCCGGGGGCCACCGGGCATGCCACTCGGGCGGAATCACGGACCTCTAGGGGTAGAGGCCGGGGCCAAAGCCGAGGAGGAGGCCGAGGCAGGGGTCGTGGGCGTTCTACAACGCCGACGGCAAGTAGCACGCGTGTCGGTTCTGTGCACCCATCTAGGGCCACCGAACCGGACGATTTCATATATGCTCCAAGCACGGAGCAAGAGGAGACCCCGTACAACGGGGAGAACTTTGAGGAAGAAGATGAGGATGGTGATCCTCATTATGACCGTATGAGTGAGGTACTAGAATGGTACCTCGAGAATAAGACAAAGAGAGAACAGCGGCGCCAAGCTAGACAGGCTAGGCAGGCCATGGGACAAGGAAGTCGGGGAGCTTCTAGTGCTCCATCTGGAGCATTTGGAGGAGACACGATGGTGCGTATCTCCAAGTACCTCAAGGAGGCCAGGGCCTTGGGGTGCAAATCATTTGATGGCAAGGGCGACATATCTGAGGCCGCCGACTGGATTAAGAAGCTGAATGATGCTTCTAGGGACATGCAAATTTCACTCGACGTGAAGTTGAGGGTTGCCACCAGGTTACTAGAAGGGGTAGCTGCTGTATGGTGGGAAGGCGTGGAGGGAAAGTTCCACGGTGAAGCCACTTGGGAGGAATTCGAAGTGGAGTTCTATAATCTGTACTACTCAACTTTTGAAGTCAATCTCAAAAGAAGAGAGTACACGAACCTGAAACAGGAGGATGGTTGCTCGGTGAGGCAATTGGAACAAAGGTTCCGTGACTTGGCACGATTCATCCCGGAATACTCATTGGATGAAAATCGTATGGCCAATCACTTTTGGGATGCTCTACAGTTGGACATCCGTGACCGGGCTACTTACCATCACAGTATGACATTTAGCCAAATCGTTGATCAGGGGCTCCTTGGGGAAGCCCAATGGAACGAGAGGAAGTTGAGGGACGCCGAGGAGGCGAAGAAAAGAAGATGGGGAAACGCTGGACCCCAAGACCACTCCCGGAAGCATCACGCTGGGGGTGGCAATTCATTCAGGGCGCCGGCACCACCGGCGAAAAGGAACAAAGGTTCAGGAGGGCAAGGGGCCAAACCAGGGAGTACATGGTCACCGAGGTGTGCAAACTGCGGCAAGAATCATGCGGGGAAGTGCAATGAACCACCCCGGTGTTACAAATGCGGTAGCACGAGCCACCTCAAATCCTCTTGTCCAATGTTGAACGGGGGAGGACCATCGGTAGCCATGGGAGGACCTACGACTAGTAGGGGACGTGCGGGGCCGTCTCAGGCCGGCACGGGAAGGAGCGGACCCACGGCTAGCAACGCCGCGTCCGTCAACCAAGGGAGGACCCAAGCACGGGTGTATGCAATGACCGAGGCTGATGCTCGGGCCAACCCGGACTCCATTGCAGGTAATCTCTTGATTTCACACGTATTTGATCATGTAATTGGTTGAAAAATCTTCAAAAAAATGAAGGACCCGATCGGGTACTCCTATAGACCCGACCGGGTATAAGTTATGCTTCGAGTTTGAAGTGTGCACCCGTTCGGGCAGCCAAGGCAGGATGCATTATTTTTGACATTTCGAGCAATACCCGATCGGGTATGGCTATATACCCGGTCGGGTATGTGTAGATTTTGAGCTTCGAAGTGTGTACTCGATCGAGCGTAGAAGACAGGGAGCTTTTATTTGTGGATTTTGAGTGATACCCGACCGGGTATAGGTATATACCCGACCGGGTATTGACATTTTGCCCGAATTCGAGGCTGGTACTCGACCGAGCAAGGAAAACAGGGGGGTTTCTCCTTAAGGACTCGAGTGATACCCGACCGGGTAGAGGACCCTACCCGACCGGGTATGGGGTAATTCTAGACTGAAATTTTTCCGTCCGGTCCTTTTCTGTCGGGATGTCGAATAGGGTGCCTTACATGACTTATATATGTAGGAACACTAAAGATCAACGATAGGGATGCGAGAATTCTCATCGATACCGGGGCACAACGTTCATTTGTGAGCGAAGCGTTTGCCAAGGGATTGAACATGCCTTTGGTAGCAATGATGCAACCTTTGCTGGTCTCTACGCCATTGGGAGACGATGTAGAGCGGAAACACTACTATCCCTCGTGTAATGTAGGGATAGGGGGCACTGTCTAACGGGTGACTTTGTGCCGTTAGATATGCTCGAGTTTGATGCTATACTTGGCATGGATTGGCTCGAAAAACACCATGCGAAGGTAGATTGCTACACCAAGGTGTTGGAACTAAAGGATGGAGAAGGGAACACTCTATGCTTCGAGGGAGATAGAGGGAAATTCAACCCTTGTATCATATCGGCCATAAGAGCAAGGCGTATGATGAGGAAAGGGTGTCAAGCATACTTGGCCTATGTCATAGGCAAGGAGGGCAAGGAAAAGAGTCTCACTGAGGTGAGAGTGGTGAGTGAGTACCCAGAAGTTTTCCCTGAAGAACTCCCGGGACTCCCACCAGATCGAGAAATTGAGTTCACCATTGAAGTAGAACCCGGTACAAAACCCATCTCGATTCCTCCATATCGGATGGCACCGGCTGAACTTCAAGAGTTGAAGGTGCAATTGGAAGAATTGCTGGACAGCGGATTCATCAGGCCGAGTCATTCACCATGGGGAGCACCGGTACTATTTGTAAAGAAGAAGGATGGTACACTCAGAATGTGTATCGACTACCGTCAGTTGAACAAGGTCACGATAAAGAACAAATATCCTTTGCCAAGGATCGATGACTTGTTTGATCAACTACGGGGGGCAACGGTGTTCTCTAAGATTGACTTGAGGTCAGGCTACCATCAACTGAAGATCAAGGAGAGTGACATACCCAAAAGTGCATTCCGTACGAGGTATGGTCACTATGAGTTTCTAGTAATGTCGTTTGGGCTTACGAACGCCCCCGCGGCATTCATGGACCTCATGAACCGAGTATTTCACCAATACTTAGACCAGTTCGTCATAGTGTTCATTGATGAAATTTTGATATACTCCATGAATGAAGAGGAACACGAAAAACATCTAAGGCTTGTGCTTGAAACACTGCGGGAGAAGCAACTCTTTGCCAAATTCTCTAAATGTGAATTTTGGCTTGGGGAGATCGGTTTTCTCGGGCATGTGGTATCGGGCTCGGGCATTTCAGTTGATAACTCAAAGATTGAGGCGGTCACTAATTGGGAGAGGCCCAAGAACGTGAAGGAGATAAGGAGTTTCCTCGGTTTAGCGGGGTATTACCGCAAATTCGTGGAAAAATTCTCGGTGATAGCATCCCCACTCACGAAGCTCACTAAAAAGGGGTGTAAGGAATAATTGTATTTAGATTTTGATGATGCTATATTAATTAGGACTGTAGAATACCCTTTTAGATATTATGTATTAGAATTTTCCCTTGTAAAATTCTTAGCATATTCGACTACCAGAAGGCCTCTCTACCAGAAGTCCTCCAGACAGAAGATCTTGGTTCTCTGTCTAGGAACAGAAAACGTCAGGGTCTCTGTTACCCTTTAGCGTGACAGAAACCCTCCTGGTTCTCTGTAAGCTACCAACAACAGAAGTGCTCATGATCTTCTCTGATTCAGTTCTCTGTTAGTAACACCAGAAGGTCTGACACTTGGAAGAAATCCACAAAGCCGGGAAGTCAACATAAAGATTCCTTCAAACGGCTAGGAGTATGAAACGGAAAAGCTACAGTGCTCGCATTAAATGCTCATTTAATGCTCCCCATGCTCCGTGGAGTAATTGCAGATAATTGGCCGCAATGTCAGGATTACTTTATCCCAAAATAGTAACCCGCCAACTTTACCGGGTCCTACTGGTCAAGTCAACTGCTCGCGCATTAAATGCAGTTGTCCTCCTACTCCTCCAACGGGAAGACAACCTCAGTATAAAAGATACACTACGAAGAACAACCCCATAACTTTGCCATAACTTTGCTATCACATTGCTAACCAAGCAAGATATTCAAACTCTGAAAAGCAAAAGCCTCCTTGAGATTCAAACTTACTATCCTCTACAAGAGAAGGCAGAAGTCGGAAAAATACTCTTTCCTACTCAAGCAAAGTTCCAAGTGTTCTTCAACTCTTCAAGCTCTTCACATACATACATTTTGTAACGAAGCTAGTTGGAGGAACCTCTGTTTCAACAGAAACTCTTCTTGCTACAAGAAGGACGTCCGAATAACTGGAGTAGTGAAGTGGTGATACTTCAAGGAGACTCAGTGAAAGGACCAGTGTTAAAGGAAGCCAGGCAGTGCATCCCAGGACACATCTAGGCTTGAAGAAGACGTGGAGTGCTTCTTAAGTGCTAGGACTAAGGCTTTGTAAACGGCAGTTTTTATAGCTTAGTGGAACAGTGGATTAGAGGAACGAGTTGTTCCTTGAACCACTATAAAAATCACTGGTGTCGTTTACTTACTGCTTTTAATACTTGCATTTAGTTAGAACCGTTTAACTCCCTGAACTTGGTATCTGTGTTCAGCAGAACTCGTTCTACGAGTTAACAGAAGGCCTTCTGCCTTTGCTTCTCTGAGGCTAACAGAACTCCCTGCCAGAACCCCATCCGCTGCCAGTCTGTTCTCTCAACAGAACAGGCTATTCTGAAAAACTGGTACTTAGTTTTAAAAAAACTAAAAACCAATACAGTCTATTCACCCCCCCTCTAGACTGTATCCAGTATAACCGGGACCAACAAGTGGTATCAGAGCCTCCTTGTTCTAATAATCTTTTAGGTTATTCGTTGAACAAAGATCCACTTGTTTTTCTGTTTTACCTCATTTCTATCTGATATAATGGATCACTCCTTGTCCAAGAATCTTATGTTTTCTGATCTTAAGTTTGATGACTGGAGGATCCGGATGAAAGCACATCTCTGTGCCCTGCATGATGAGATGTGGGAAGTTCTTGACATTGGCCCCTTCACTAGCTTCCAGAAGGTCAATCCTGAACATGCCATAGACAACACCAGACCCCAGATGATCAGCAAAGCCAAGTCTGAATGGACCACTGAAGAGAGGAGAAAGTACAACTTAGACAATATTGCTAAGGACATCCTCTACAAGTCCATTGATGATAGATACTTCAACAGAATCAAGAAGTGCAAAACTGCTAAGGAGATCTGGGATACTCTTGAGCTCATTGGAGCTGGTGATGAGCAAGAGAAAGACAACAAACTAACCATAGCAAACAAGAAGTTTGATGACTTCAAACTTCTCCCTGGTGAAAGCATCTCCAAGATGTATGACAGGCTCCTCACCCTCACTGGAGAGATCTCTGAGCTTGGGAAGGATCTCACAACCAAGGAGATCAACCTGAAGGTGTTGAGGGGACTGCCCTCAGCATGGAAGATGAAGGTAGTTGCTGTCCAAGCCAGCAAGGATGTAAAGACTTATCCCACTGATAAGCTCATTTCAGATCTCAAAGCTCATGAGTTTGAAATGATTGAAGAGAAGGAAGATGTACCAGAAGAGAGGACCACTACAGCCCTCACTGCCAGCACATCTAAGGTAAATGATTTTGACCCTTCAGTACTTTTATCTGATGAATATATGGCTGCCTTTGCCAGGAGATTCAAAAAGTTTATGAAGAATCCCAAAGATGGAAGGAGTCCATCTTTCAACAGAAAGCCATACCAGAAGGTCAAATCAACAGAAAGCAGTGGAGAGCTTCTCTGTTACAACTGCAGACAACCTGGTCACTTCAAGGCTGATTGTCCCCATCCTAGAGTGTCCAAGAAGCAAGGACAGGATGGAGAAAAGAAGAAGTACGAGGACAACTCCAGAAGGAGAAAGGCACTTGTGACAGAACAAGTGGAGAAAGACCCTCTGTCAGAAACAGAATCCAGTTCTGACTCAGATTCTGATGAGGCCTTCTGT